TGTATTTCCTTATAAAAGAATAATTCTGATTTTGATTCACTGAACTTTGAGAAATTTTTCAATATCCTGATTTTTTGTAACTGTCCACACAAGTGTTGTTATACTGTGAAGATAACAGGTTTGGAAAATATGGTGCATTGAATATGCAACACTGTCATGCAGCAAAATGGACAATCAACTTAAGGTTTTTTTTTGGTTTTTTCTTCTAATGAGTCTTTCAAAATGAGCCAAATACTCATTATAACACTGTGCAATAAAAGTTTGTCTAGGTTTCAGTAATTCATAATTCTCTTTTAACCCTACCAAATGACTCCTCCCCCACTCTCCAGGAAATTCTGTTTAGGTTAAGATGTTGAAGGCTGACCTGGATCTTGTCATGATTTTCTTATGGATCTACCTTTGATCATTAATAACTGTTTTGTTCAAAACTGATTTCCTTCTGTCATGCTAGAGAAAGACTAAAAAAAAAGTGACCAATATTCACTGCAAGCAAGTTGATATTTTCTAAGGTAAGCCCATTCTCTTCATTCATTTTTTGTTTTTTTAAATTTCACCCAAAGTGCAAGGCAATAAAGCCACTAAGATGCAAGGGGTTACTCATGTGAGAGGATAAAAAAAAAAAAAAAAAAAAAAACTTAAGGAGAGAGAACAATAAAAGAACAAATTTAAACTGAAGAGAACAATTGACATTGCATTTAAATTTTCGACGATCAAAAATTTAATTCAGAAGCAAGATTCCAGAAGAGAGTTCCAAAAGTGAAAAGTGTGATAGGAGAAACTGTTAATATAGAACTTACAGCTATATCTAGCCATTTCAACTGTAAAAGGAGGAGACCTTGCCATTAATCTAGTATTGCACTTGCATTCATAAACTCTAGGTACCAAAGAGCAAAGTGCATCAGAATGATTATCATAAAAGTAAAGAGTGTTCCAATAACTTGGACTGATTTTAAGTGTTTAATGATTTTTGTTTTTTTTCTTTTTCTTTCAGATTTAACGAGTCTTTGGCATATTCAACCATCAACCAATCAAACGTGTTAAAGTTATTGCAGTCTATTACAAAAATGGACATTCAAACAGAAATGCAATGAGAAGTTCCCAGGTCGTATCATCTCTCGAAAAAACAAAGTCAATTGGCCACGATGATTATGCAACTTGATGCCTTTAGATTTCTTCTTTTGGGGTCATCTCTAAAGTAAGGTCTATGGCAACAAGCCAACAATTCAACAGTTGAAGGATGAGATAATACGGCATATTGGTGAGATCGAGGAGCAACTATGCAGAGACGCCATCAAAATTTTGACCATCAAGTGAGGTGTGCCACCAAAGCCTTGGCAGACATTTGGGCGATATTATTTTTCACACATAATTGCCATGACTTAAATAACATGATCCAATAGAGAAATAAATAAATTTTCGCCAGTAACACCGAATTATTTACTGCTGACTTTGATCAGTCTTAATGAAACACCCTTTATTTATAGAAAAGCACAGGAAAGCTATGTTACTGTGGTAGGAAACTAAAGCTGAGATGCCAGGTTAGGACCAATAACATTGCAGATTCTTTCGTATTTTATCAAGAATCTCTACACAGCAGAAGTTTTAAAGCATAGATAAATGGTAGACTTATAAATATATTAAATTCTGGTGAGGAAAATTGTCTAGCATGACAGTGAACAAACTTTCCAAGCAGCAGACATAGCAAGTGATTTAATAAAATCTTTCTACTTCATGTTAGTGGAAAATGTTAACCTGAGAAGTTTCTCCTGGAGGTTAGCTTCAGTTATACTGATGGAGAGCAAAAAGGGTTCTTTCAGACGATTAATAGAGAGCAGTTTTGATTTGGATACATTAAAATTAACAAGCCATTCCTTGCCCCAGTTAACAACAGATTGTAGGTCATTTTTGAGATCAGCTGCCAATTTGACCTTATCGAACCAATCAGATTTACTATTAAGACAAGAGTAAATAATCAAGTATTCATTCATACTGCAGTATTCAATCAAGGAAGATATCTTCTACCAAGCTAGCATAAAATTTCTTTAGCAGTACCATATTTTCCTGATTTCACTTGTGTAGGCCGACACTGAAAATTGTTGGATTCAGCTTTTGAAAAAAAGGGCAAGGGGTCACATAAAGAACTTAACTGAACCTGTTTCTGGATAGAATGTACTTTCCAAAACTATATAAGTTTAGTATGTGCCTTCCTGCTCTTTTTGAGATATTTATACAAATATGAGGACAAATCCAGTAAGGTTAAGCCAAAAATTTAGCATTTTTTTGACAACTTTTAGGCTTAATCCTCTTAAAATTTGATTAAATTTTCAGAAAAAAAATGTTCCTAATTATTACATTAAGTGTTTTTTTCTGTTTTGTCAAGAATCTGTCTCAGTTTAATAAAAATAGCAATAATAGAGTCTTTCACTAATTTTTGCTGAAAATTCTGGTGGGGTTTTATGAACAGGTCAAATTTATGGACATGTGAAATTGAATGTTTTTTTTACAGATTTCCATAACTTTAAATTATCATAAAATCACTTCTACACATGCTAATTTCCTTCTTTTTTTTTTTTTTTATCAGAAATGTCATCTAGTTTTGGCATATCAAATTGCTGAAGGTAAATGGAAAAGTGATTTTTGGCCAATTTCCACTGCTGGGCCCACTGCTAGGAAAGTTGTGTGCATTAATGCAAAAAGATCTAGAAGAGTGGCCATTCAAGACAACTTCCATTTCATGATTTGATAAAGACTGAATCAAATCAAAAATTCATCCATAAATATGACTTTTCAACTTGTGAAGAAGACCAGCATATCAACCCTGTCAAATGCCTTTGGAGATATACAAAGCAACAATCCAAGCTTCACCATTCTTATCTAAAGCTTGATAGACTCTTTCAGCAATAATTGTTAATATATCAGCAGTTGACATGGAGAAGCAAAAGCCATATTGCTTATCAGAAAGAAAACTCTGCAAAGTGAAATACTTAATCAATCCTGAGTCGATTAGAGGATCTAGTATTTTGCCAAAAAGAAGTAGAATGCTAACAGACTGATAGAGGGATCAGATAGCTACCAGAGTTCTTAAAGACTGGAACTACAGAAGAGAATTTCCAACAAGCAGGAAATTAAGAAGCATCAAGGTATTTATTGTAGAGAGAACAGGTGCCAGTTCAGGATCTTGAAAAATAAAACCTGGCTTTCTGTGATGTGCTTCATGGTCAAACAGTAAAGCACATCAGATCAAACAAGTGTTTCCTCTACAAGGGGAGACACAGCTTCAGTTTCTGTCAGGGAACATTTTTTTTTTTTTTATAAAACTAAGGTTTATCGAATGCGCAGAATAATAGACACTGTTTAGCAAATAAATTGGGAGCATTTATTCCAAATACAAAGTATCCACTAAAATAATCTTTAAAGTAATAAAAATATCAGATTAAAAATTCATTAATTTATATATATATATATGAAAATAATATTATCTCAATAATTTTTTGAGATTATAAATAATATATATATATATATATATATATATATATATATATATATATAAATAAACTTATATGTGAAAAACTAATATGTATTGAACATATGTTGTCATACATAAACCACTGTAATAAGTAAATATATATATATATATATATATATATATACACACACACACACACACACACACATACTTTTACTTTGGATTAATTTTAACTTGTTATTTAATAATTATCAAAGGAAGCCTCTTCTAACACAAGATAGTCATTCTCAAGGCTACATTGCAACTCTGCACAGAAACCTATTTTATAGGAACTGGTTTGTAACAATAAAAATCTTGGCACTGAGAATCCATATTTTAAACACCACTACACTGTACTAAAAGGGGAGGATTAAAAATTTCTATTGCATTTATTGCAGTATTTTTCAAAGTTTTTTTATGATTTTGTGCTAGAACAGCTAATAGGAAACCATGCTTAATGAAACAATAGAATGAGCAGTAATAATTTGAAACCTCTGAAAGTTGCATAATTAATACAAGTTATATCTCCAGTTTGAAAAAAAAAATAAATCGCTAGTGCACATGTACCAGTGCACAGAACAAAGATGTGAATAATAGTAAATAAAATTCATGTTGCTATGCCAAAATATGGGTTTAACTTTATTTTTATCATTTTATCCAAGCAAGGTAATAAAGCCACTAAGACACAATGGGTTATTGAATGTGAAAGAATATAAGATAAAGAAAAGTATTATTAAAGAGAGAGAACAATAAAGGAACAAGAATTAAGACAGAATATAACAATTGATATTGCATTTCAAAAATTGAAGAAAAAAAACTTGAATTTTGGCATAATATTGAAATTTTTCTTTTTAAAAGAAAACTTTTTTTAATTTGTGTGAATCTGAACAATTCTTAAAATAATAAATAAATAAAAATTAGAAAAGCAATTAGGTTCCTTTTTATTGTGCAAATTTACATAACAATTATTATATATATATATATATATATATATATATATATATATATAATTTGATGTCTCCAAAGGTTTGGAAAAGTTTAACATTAAAAAGAAAGATCCTAGTGGGTAGAGACAAGGGAGTAGATAAACCCCTTGATCTCTATGATGATCAGTTCCAATCAGCACTGCCAACACCCATCCAAGGTTTGAGAAAATATGTTAATGAGATTTGTTGGTCTCTTTGAAAGTAGATTATGAAAATGAGAACAGCAAGAGGAATGAAGAATAAAAATAAAAAAAAATAACCAAAGTGGAGATAAAAGAAATGAGAGGAAAGAGAGTAGATGATGGGGGAGAAGAGAACAGACCATAGAGAAAAAGAAATGGGGAAAAGGGAGAAGAGAGGAAAAGGAAAAAAAGAAATAATGAAAAAATAAGTTAAAAAAAAAAAAAAAAAAAAAAAGAGAAGAGTAAGAAGAAAACAAAGGAAGGATAGCAAAGATTAAAAAAAACAAAAACAAAAAAGGAATGATTATGATGATGAGGAGAGGAATGCTAGTAGAGGCTTGTCTTCTTCATAATGCGGAGAAATTCCTCTTGGTTCACTTCGCCATCATTATCACGGTCAGCTTCATCAATCATCTCCTGCAAAAACAGAAAAGTCAGTAGTCAGTAAGTTTGGTAAAATAACAGAACCAAAAGTGGTTGTATTTGTTTGAATAGGAGAACAAGTACAAAGCTCACTAATATCTCACGGTGCAAGCCATTGCAACTGAAAGCTTGCTGAGATTAAATTGAACCAAATTTGTTCAGACACCTCTGGCAACAGAAGTATGATTCCATTAGAGTAGATGGGAAAAGTAATATTTTATCCATCAGCAGCAAAAACTGATAAAACTTAGAAAAATCCATTATGGCATATAGGAATGTCTGTCAAGTAACCATGGTTATGTGCACACACACACACAACTGAGTTGTATGTGTGTTTGCACATATATAGATTTCTTATTATTATAAGTGTTATTTTTAGTCAGTACATGTACGAGTTATTAAAAGGCAGGATAGCAACTCAAATATTTTTACCCTCTAAAAATGATGTTTACACTAATGTCAGATAAAAAATAAAATAAACAAAAAAATGCACACAGATACATATACATTATATATATATATATATATATACAGACATGTTTTATTAAACAATTTAGACACATTCTGTCTACTTATTTTCGATAAGATCCTTTCATATTTGTGAATAAGCTATTTTGTGTGGTTGTTAAATGACGAGAGGCAAACACTGTGTTGGCTCGTATTGCATTTATTCCGAGTATTTTCGACATCATTTTGTCATCATCAGAGTATCGTTAAATATAGAATAAGTATTAACACCGTGTTTTCTTTTAACAATGCATAAAAAAGCGTATTCGCGAATATGAAAGTGTCTTATCAAAAATAAGTAGACAGAATGTGTCTAAATGAAAACATGCTGCCGAAATATATATATATATATATATATATATATATATAGTGCACTTTGCTTCTTCCCATCCTCATTGCTGAGGGTAGGGAACCATGGACAATTGTTAGTTTTGAATTTAGAATTGTCTTCCTAGACTGGTTGTCAAACACAACTAGAAAGCACAATCTACCTTACTATTGATATTGAACCCATAGCTGGGTGGAGAAGAGATGGATTCATATCTTTCCCAAAGATATTTGTGTATAAGTGAATGTAATGAACTCATCTGGAATTCAAACTTGGCTCTTGAATTTCTTATTTTGAGCTGCTGTCCATTTCATCACCTGCACACACACACACACATACATACACACCCACATTAAACAAGAGCTAATATTAAATAAGATAACACACAAAAGTGCTATTTTGGTTTGAAAAAAAAAAGACAGTGGATAGCAAAGGTTTGAATAATTAATAATATCAAAATATTAATACAGCTCAAAGTATTGTTAAATAAAGAATATTAATGGGGTAAATGCAGAAATATTGTGGGCAGTTGCAGAAAGAGCAAAGCCATATAATGGCAAGTAGGAAAAAATGCAATCTTTGCCATTTAGAATTGCTTATAAAGTTATAATATTGCAAAATATTATAAAAAAAAACCTACATATGTTAAATAAAAGAAGTGAACTAAGTTTTCTATAAATGCAAAACAAAGCACCTATTGAAAAATATAGACGAGAGATGGCAATTGGATCATGTATTATTATATGTATTAATATTATATGTATTATTATTATTTGCAAAAGTAGAATAATAAATAGAAACTACGTAAAGAAAATGATGAAACCAAACAGAGTAATCTGAATATTTTTTCAAAAGTTTTTAGCACAATAATTTCAAGTATGATTTTTTTATTTAAATTATCTTGTATGAAAAAAGAAGAAATAATGTTATAATCCATTGCAGAAGGCATACAATTACCTGCAGTTCTTCATCAGTAAGGTTCTCACCCAGCTCTTTGGCAACCCTTTTCAAATTCTTAAAAGATATCTTTCCAGTCTCATCATCATCGAATAGCCGGAATGCTTTTAAAATTTCTTCTTTTGTGTCTTTATCACTCATCTTCTGAGACATAATGGTCAGGAAATCGTTAAAATCAATGGTCCCTGAGAGAAAGAAAGAACATCAGATTTTGGACATAACATTTATACAAGTCAGAATTTTAGTGTTTTTTGTCACTTATTGTAATGATCAGAAAAACCACTGAGGTTGTTAGCTCCACTTAGTGAAAAAAAAAAAAAAAAGAACGTGAATATTAACAGTACATTCTTGTAGAGATTATAGTGCTAAGCTTTTTCTAATGACAAAGTTTTGTATTAGAAGCAAAATAAAAGTTTAATAGGAAAATATTTATAAAAATGATTTCACTTTCTTTCATGCAAATGACACTCTAAAGAAACTGGTGAAATGTGAGCAAATTTTAATTCCAAAAATGCAACTCAGAAAAAAAGTCTAGGAACCACTGGACTAATGTATATGATATCAATATATAATCTGTTTTCTTGACAATTAAATGATTAAGAACAGTGTCAAGAAACTAAATATTGTGACAATACTTGAGGTCAAAATGAAAAGTAGGCAGAAAGGTCATAACCAGGAGATAATGTATGATGGTCAATCACAGGACCAATAAGAACAAGACAAATAGATTATTATGACAAAAAAAATAAATAAAAAAAATATGAGACAGAACTGAAATTTTAATTTTTATGACGTCCTTCTAAAAGCATGAGAAAATTCACTAAAATATTTTTGCACTTGTTGTGAAGTCTTATGAAAGCAAAACATGTTCTGATTTTGTTAGATAAGCTGGTGAAACCCAATAAACTGTATAGTAATCCAGCTGTATTGGATGAAATAAAGACATACAATAAAGCATCAAACTACCATTTTGACATGCACTTTGCAAGATATTTTCACAGGGATTCTTTTTGGTGTCTAACATTTATTTGAAGTGGTGTTGAAAAGTTCTTCAATTTTGAGATATCTTGTAATTTTTTGTTTCCTAAATGACATGGCTGTGATAGGTTCCAGAAAAGGAATTTTTCACACACACACACACACACATATAATGTATGTATGTATGTATATATATATATATATATATATATATATATATGGTGCGATGAATAAATTGCCTAAATTACACAAAAATGAAACTAACACTAACATCTCATTCTAAAAGATATATTTACCAAAATTACACAAAGATATCTTAAAATACTAAAGAGTAAATTTATTCAATAAAATTGGCACTGGCTTCAACCACTGCCTCCAGACAATTCCTACAACTCTTCCGGACAGTCTCCTTGTTTAAGTGGGTGAATGCTGCTATAATCCTTGCCTTCAGTTCATCTTTGGTGTTATAAAGAGTTTTGCTGGTCTCTCACTCAACTGCACTCCACACAAGAACTTTATTTAAAATGAGTATTTTCGAAAATCACAAAAATAAAAGTTTTATTTTGGGCCATAAGAAAAGCATGGGGTGGGGGACAAGTCTAACAAATTTTGTTTAAAATGAAAAGATCAAAATATTTAAGAGAGTGAAATTCAATAATAATGTTAATGACATTATTTTTTTCTATTTGAGATAGGATATTGTTCATCAAATATACAAATTATAGGACCACAGATTCTCTTATCCCTTAAATTAACTGCTGATTATTTTTTTTTTAAATTAAAACATTGAAGAAAGTTTTAAGCAAAAAGAAGTTATATCAGATGAAATACGTCTTACCTGTTCCATTCTTGTCAACTTGGGCAATCATAGACTTAATGTCTTCTTTCTTTGGCTCAAATCCTAACGCCCTCATAGCCACCTGAACAAAATAACATGTACTAATATATTACTAAAACAAATCAATTATAAAGTTTTTATTTTCAATAATGGGGCATGAGACTTCTTTTTAAGAAGCCAATATCTACTACAGTGACATCTATAGCAGCAAATATAGGCAAAGGGAATATTTCCAGAAAAAAAAGCAGAAACTCAAGTATATAGCATAAATCATAGGGGGGAAAATAAGAACAAATGCTATGGGCCTGAATGGGAATATATGTTGAATGTGTCAGTTTCAGATAATTTTACACTGAACTAAGACTCTTCCTCATGTAAACGATCCAAAATGCTCAACTTTTATACTACTCATTTACATTCAGTTTGTAAACATTTCTTCAAAAAGCATAGGTAAAAGTATTTCTCCTATTTACATTGAAGAATCACCAGAGGAAAAAAAAAAAGTATTTATGAACATCAAAGTGAAATCTGACAATTGATTGAGAGCAGTGTGAAATGTTCAAAGAATCTGAATTCCTTTAATGAAATGGTTTTTATCCTATGCCAAACACTATTATTATTATTAGAATAAAATAGTGTTGGAGGTAACTCCTCCTTTATTTCATTAACCCTTTCACCAGGAGTCTCTCTTCCCTGGCTATAAATAGTCGCTGACCCTTCGCCTCTTCCTCTTTTGCCCCTCAGGCTTTTGGGCTGACACCTGGAGGTAAATCTCTCTTTTTCCTCAGGCTTTCAGCCTTATTACCTCGAAGATGTGAATGCTCACAGAGATAGCGTTTCCCAAATGCTGGGAACATGCTAAGCACAATACACACGCACATATATAATATTCACACACACACTTTGTCCTTTGTAACTGTTTCCATGTAACCTGTTATTAATATATATATATTTGTATACATATATTATCGGTCTTGTGTTTGTTTTCTTTGCATTCTTTGGACTTAATTAAAGTCCAACCTTTTCATGTAGTTGGACCAGCTAGCAGGAGAATCTGAACCCACGTGTTTCTTCTACGTCTACTCAACAACATCACAGCCACGGTCCACTACAATAGCATTCAAAATGTGTTGAATAACAAGATGTCTTACCTTTAGTTCTTTAGCGTCAATGGTACCAGAACCATCTGTATCAAACAGATCAAAGGCCTCTTTGATTTCTTGCTTTTGTTCTTCAGTAAGTTCCAATTTTGGACCAGGCTTTTTCCTTGGTCCAGTACTCAAGGTTTTCTTGTAATTGGCCTGATAAAAGAGGAAAATAAAAATGCAAACCCATTGTTGTTTTATAGGTGCCTCATGAGACAAAACAGGTTAGAATAGAAATCTGGGAACCAATTTAGCAGACATCTATCTAAAATAGATATCTCCAAGCAGATTCTTAACATTCTAGTGCAAGTGGGTCACCTTATTTTGATTTTAACCCTTTATGTTTTTCAACTATTTTCTCCAAAAGAATATTTCTGAATTCCTAGAGCAAATAGTTGAGTGACATTGCTTACTAAATATAACACAAGGAATAACAAAATGTCTGTTATAAATGTTACCAATATTCAATGTCAAGATTTTTATTTCATGTCAGCCTCCTGGACAATTTGTATTACCAAAGTTTGAGTGTTCTAAAAGTAAATATTTTTTTCAAATGAGCACTTGTAATTTTACTTTTATAAATTAATTTCATAAATATGAAAATGATAGAAAAAAAAAAAATAGAGAAATTTATAAGCTTTATTTTTATAGTTTTTTTACTAACTGAAAAAAAAAAAAAATAAAAAAATATTGAATTTTGAACAGTCTTTATTATAAATCTTTTTATATATCCAAATCCCGTAATATGAGTGTCATTTAAAACATTTACATGTGATGTAAGGGAGACAAATCAGTGAATGTAAAAATCGTTAAAAAAACAAAAACGCATTTTAAATAATTTAATGCCTTCTTTGAAGTTAAATTGTCGTTTTATTTCAGAGATAATAACCTAAATTTAATCCGTACAAAAAAATTTTATTTTTAAACCAAGCAAGTAAAACTCATTTAGCACAGTTCAAGTAGTGAATTTTTTTTGTAGATGCCAACGAAAGAGAAATTAAAAAAAACACTTAAATAATCCATGTACAAACAAACATTTTTGTTTAGGCGAATAAATAAGGATAAGTTTTGGAAAAATATTACTTTTTGCCAAAAATATATAGCAAAAAATACATTTTCCTCCCTGCAGACAGAGCATGTCCTAACTTGTCAACACGTTCAAAGATCAAACTTTTCTTACAAGCCTGCCCTTACTTTAAAAAAATTACCCCATAAAAAAAATACAGAAGTCCATCGATTAGAAAACTTTATAGAAATATATTTCAGGTTAGTTGCACTTCTTAACTAAGATGTGATATCTTTATCTACTGTATTTCTAATGTTAACACCAAAAAAACTTAACCAAACAGACAAAAAAAATAACACCTTCCGCATAAGTACGAGTCAACCAAATGTTTCAATATTTCTGGTAACCCTGAAAAAGACTGTTAGTGTTGTTATATTATTTGTTTTTTATGTCAAGGGAAATTTTTTTTTTTTTTTTGATTTTCATTTTTGATCTTCCGGAGAATTAAAAAAAAAAAAAAAAAAAAAAAAAAACTCTTGTAAAATTAAAAGAATTAAATAAAATTATTTTAAATGTTCACACTCTAAAATAGCATTATTAAACAAAACTTTATTTTCCGATTCTTCAAAAACACATCTCTATTATTTTTAGTTTATATATCAACTTTGTCAGCAACGATGAAGATCTGAAAGAGATTTTTTTTTTTTTTAAATCGTACTGTAAAAAATATGTATTAATTAATAATTGTTCAAATATGACATTTTTTTTTCGCGGAAAAAATACAGTATATACTTTTTTTTATTATTAGGTATCAAGAACTCTTCACAAAAAAAAAAAAAAAATATTTTTACTTTTATAAATTATTTTTTCGTAGCATATTTTAGTTCACAGTTGATGTTTTTTCCTTAAATGATCACCTGCGACTCTGCGAGGATTCAGCTTTTTATGCTTTACAAAAATACATTTTTTAACGGCTTTTTTTGTTAAACTAGGAATTCGTTGTGAAAATGTCTCGAAGTCGTAAAAAAGTTAAAATTTAACTTTTACGAGTTCGAGGCACAAAAAATTATGTTTAAATTCATAATATTTTTTGTGCCATGATTTGAGAAAAATAAAATTTCGTTTGATTTTATTCGAAAATTAAAATAAAATTTAAACTTTCAAATTAATTGTAACTTTCTTCTCATAATTTATTTATTAGAAAATTTATCATAAAAAAAGTGCCAGACTGGAAAAAGAAAAGTTCCTTCATTTTTAAATTTCCTGAAATTTTTTACATTTACTACAAAAATTTCATTTTTTTTTTTTTTTTTTTGACTCGACCATTTCAAAACGGTGGATTTTCCTTATTTTTTTTTTTTTGCATATGAATTCATGTTTAGATTTTTTGTTTGAAGATCTGAATTAATAATAACTGATTATCGTTAAAAAAAAAAAAAAAAAGAAAAGAAGCACAATTCTAAAATAAATGTTTTTCTCCAATTTTGATTTCAAGATTAGAATTGGTATTTCTTTTTTTGCAATATTTCTGCTTTCATCTTTATCACTGAAAAAAAATCTAAACATGAATAAAAAATATTTATGAATATTCATTATTAAATGAACTTTATTAAAGCCCCCCCCCGCCCCGCCATCTACTATCACTTTTTTTTTTTTTTATTCTTCAAAAGTCAAAACATACATGGAATTACGTAGAACGTAGAGAAGAATGTCAAAAATTTTAACATGCTACTACAATGCATACAATTCCTGGACAGATTGTGTATAAACAAACACAGTCTGAGTCCACTCTCTAAGTCTAAGACATATGCCGGCAATGAAAGGATCAATCAATAATACCGTAGGGAAGTACGTTGTTTAACCATGTGCTTTTTACCAATTTTAACACATTACAAAAACAATAAAAAAAGAAGACGTTTACCACGTGCAGAAAATTACAATGGTATATTGGTAAACTAAACACTAAACAGTAAACACTAAAAATATTTTGACTGACTAGACTTAGAGACATCACAAGTAGGAGCATCAATGTATCGAGAGGAAGATCATAAAACTAATTTCCTTACAAGAAATTAAGAAATAAATTCTCTCTAATGTTAATTTTACGTGAATCTTATGAATTTTTTGCATTATTTTAGTTTAGTTACACGAAAATAGTGAACACTAAACACTAAAAACACTAACTCAGTAACACTAACAACACACGTAACTGAAGAAGACTCGTTTTAAAGTACTTTTTTGTTTAGGGTACCATTTTTAATAAATGATTTAATTAAAAATACTAATCAGCGAGCTTTTATCTTTTTTTTTAATCGATGTGCAGTTTAATTTCTTACATTAATGAATCAATCGAGTCTTTCTTTCGTACTTTATTTTTTAGTTTCACTTCATTGATTTATTTTAAACTTGAATTTAAGAAAATTTGGAATGTTAAAGAACGAAAGATTTTTTTCAATTATACATACTCAACACACGCAATCAGTTAAGATTAAGAAAGTCTAATTAATAATTGAACATTATACAATTTTAAAAATATACACATTGTTCTTATTATTATTCCTCAACCAACGAATAAAGTAGTAGTTTCCTCGTAACTTAAGTTGCAATATGTTCTTAGTTTTTAGGAATTAAACTTAAATAATTAATTAATAATTAAAATATTATACTAGTGAGAGAGAGTGATAGTTAGACATAACATAACTGTACTTAGTTTTTAGAGAAAATAGAAAATGATTGATCATGAAATTGAAATGAATGAATTCTTTCTTTTACAAAACAAATATGAGATTTGAACCGTACTTGTTTCAATGTCTAGTTTGTTTTTTGTTTTGTTTTTTGCACTGTACTTTTTCTGAAAGTAAAATAAACATCTGTAGCAAACATTAAATTCATGTGCTACATTAGCACAATATTTTACATTTTTATTTGATGGAATAAAGATGTATAAAAATAAACATTTATCTTGACACATGTCACGACTTTCCGTCAAAAAACGCATATTACGATTCAAATTCATCAGCTTTTCAAGTGCGACATACCCAACAGTACAAATCTCATATAATATTCACATGTAAATGAAACAGACGAGTCTCAACAATCAACATATAATCAAACAAATGAGTATAAACATTTTCTGTTTTTATTTATATCACTTTTTAAAAGCAATCGTGTCGTCGTTTTTTCATCACAACATATCCATATTGTGACTTAGAACATGGAAAAAAGACACAAAATGCTACTTGGATGACGAATCAGAAACAATTAAAATCTTCAGGTAGATTTAAAATAGAATTTAAGGAAAAACAAAGAGAAATAAACACCCACAAACTTATCTTTTACTTTTTCTTTTTACTTACCATAGCGGAGGGAATGTATCTGTTGACTGTCTGGTGTCCTAAGAGATGACCTAATCTCGCTTACATTCCCGCTTTCCCAAGTCTCGCCAACGAGATGACATCTACTCCTACACATGGTTATCTGCCTTCACCTAGCAAACATGTAATAACTTGTCCTTATCGGTTAAAATAAAATGGTGCATACTGTATTGTATAATAAAGTGTTTTTTGTAAAGGAATATTTTTTTTGCATGCAATACAAAAAAAAAATAATAATAATTTCAGAGAAATTGAGTTAAAGTAACAATGCGTGATTCTGTGAACACACAATTAATTGTTTATTTTTTTCAATCAACTTTTTCTTTATAAATCTTTTTACCATCTCAGTGGAAAATATTTATCAGCATATTTTATTAATTACTTCCGTATGTCGTTTTGAGTATCAAGATGACTTGAACCTCACGCTTGAATATATTTAGTTAGAGTACAAAATGATTCCAGGCGATAAATAAAATTGATTCTGTGCAAACGTAGGAACTATACTTTTTTGCGCGTTGCATATGAACAATGTTACAAATACAATTGTCATGATCGCATTCGTAAGACTTCGTAATTGTCATTGTCGTAAGACTTCAACTCACACATTCAGTTTCTTCTTTTCTTTGGGGAAATCATAGGATGATGTAACATGATCATTGAATGTCTTGTTGGTCACCCTTCAAAAATATTTCATTAAATTGGACCAAGATTTCTTGGAATATTTTCAGGGAAACGTACAGAATTTTTTGCACATTTCTTTCCTTTTTCAAAAAAAAAAAAAAAAAGACACATTAACGTCCCCCTATGATTTTAACTTGACGAGATCAATGTAAGTCACGGAAGTAAGTTAACGGCTTTGGGGTTTCCTTTCTACTCATATGATTATTAAATTGGGCTACCTGGTATGACTCGGGTTACATCTAAAAGTACAGTACTACTACATTTTGATTTGAATTGACTTTATTCTTATTAGCAGCCAAGTTGTGCTGATCTTACAAAACCACCGAGAGGAGCTTAATCTTCACAAAGTGCTTGAAAAAACGCTAGCAAGTCAAATATATTTACACTATTTACATTTATCCTCATGTTGTCTTCATCTTTATTGCCATATTCAATGATTCATCGCCCAGTGGATAAAGCGTTGATTGACTGAGCGAAAAGTGACTTGACTCAAAGAATTGTGAGTTCAATAGAGGGAACAAAAACTTGGAGTGTTGAGTTATCAATGGAAATTAACTGAAACTGGGATATCCAAAGGCATGGTCTGTGAAATTAGAACAATCTACCTGTAAACAGATTGATAGAACATGAAGACAAATGTATGGTGCTAGACAGCCATGCTGCTCTTTTTGATGCGCTTGGCAAATGTTGCATTGTTCAACAGTTATAGCAATGTCGTTGTCGATGCGATGCAAACACACACAGCTTTTTACTCTCAATCTGCATTTGTCTGTCCCTTGATGAGCATAGGGTATCTTTTGTTCAATTTCCGACTGCAGAAGTTTGGGAATTATTATTCGATCACCCTTGAGGAGAATTCTATTTTCAATTGCGAGTTCATCACTGTAAGACCAGTAAGGCTGTAAACCTTGGCTAACCTCTTGTCTCAAGTCGGGCTATCCTCGAAGGATCATATCTCTCAGTTTACATAATATAGGGTCGGTGCTTGTCGCCTGGCGTATCTGTGTCAATTTTTCTGTTGAGAATTGCACAAAGTCGAACTTTATGTCCAGGTCTATGGCTTCCTTTACTCTCTTGTTTGCGATAGTCATGTCCTTCCCTGGTCGATACCCGACGACTATGACGTACTTTTGCAGACGAAGCAGCATTCTTTTAAGGCGGTGAGGTGCTGCAGTGAGATTTTTTAGGGATATCATCTCCAGGGGCTTGTGATCACTCTCAATGATGAATGGCATGCCATATATGTATGTTCGGAATTTCTCGCATCCGAAATCCACTGCTAATAGCTCCCGTTCTATGGTGGCATAGTACTGCTCTGTTTCTGTGGGGGATTTGGATGCAAATGGGTTTGCCTTTATAGTGGGTCAGCCTATTTGTATTGGTTATAAATAGAAATAAAAACTGACCCTCTACAATTTTTACAATATCAAATGTAACAAAGACAACAACAAGAGAAATAATCAAGTAGAAGAAAATGTGAATTTTGTTCAACAATAAATATTTTTTATAAACACAACAAATACATAATATATAGTGCAAAGGACGAAGTGTGTGTGAATATTCTGTATGTGCGTGCGTGTGTGAATATTCTGTATGTGCGTGCGTGTGTGAATATTCTGTATGTGCGTGCGTGTGTGAATATTGTGCTTAGCGTGTTTCCACGCTATCCCTTGTTAGCGCCTACATTTCGAGGTTGATAGCTGAAATCCTGAAGGAAAAAGAGATAGAGGCGAAGAGTCAGCGGCGAACTATAGCCTGGGAAGAGAGACCCCTGGTGAAAGGGTTAACGGACTGAAGGAGGAGTTAACTCCGACACCTTCTTGTAAAAGGCCTTTATTCGAACAATCAACCTGAATCACTGATGTTTTTAGCGGATTAAAATAACTGAGCAACATTTGTTTTGATTATATCCTTTATTTGCTGCAGGGATTTTTGAAGGCTACTTGTCCATTTGTAGTGGAAAGTTTGGTGGTTACAATTTATTTAATGGTGTTGATGGACCAAATCAATCCATACGTTTTTTTTACTCTACGAATATGTTAAGCAAAATACAAAAACAACGAGAGAAAACAAGAAGAAACATTCGTGATTGAAGACAAAAGACAAACATTTGAATAACAAGTAATTTTCAATGTATTTTTTGTAATGAAAATATTTTACAAAAATATAGTCAATTTTTTATGTGAAATCTTGTTAGTTTAATTTATGTTGGACTCAAGTTTGGTGAAAGATTAAATTTTGTTAATGAGTTCTGATTTGAAAGGATGTTTGTTAGAATCTGTTATTGAAAATTCCGTAAATTAATTGCAAGAGAAAAAATTTACTGTTCATGTAAAGTAGTAAATGCTTATAAAGTTGAATGCAATTTGTGATCAAAGACGTTATCTACCTTTGATTGTTTTGTGTAATACAATATTCTCGAATGTAGAGAAAATAAGTTGATTTGTTAGCAGGAATTTGTTTAACTTGTAACTGTGTAAAGGAATTTGGTGATAAGTTTTGATGAGTGAGTGTCAATATCGTTAAGTTGTATAATGTTCGTATGAACGAAAAAATTTAAAATTGTGTGACGTGAAGTTTACTTGCAATTCGATTGATGTCACAATTCTCACTGGCGTGGGTGAATGAGTTTCTGTTTTTATTTGCTTCGGGTGGCTCACAGGTACTTGGCGCAAACTTGGATTTCAGTTACGAGCTGTAAACATTAGGTAAGCGTGAGTGGATAGTCATGCCTACTTGTATATTTATTAACCAACGAGAGCTCGAGATTTTTTTGAAAGTGTATGAAGTTGAAAGTGTTCTGTGATTCGCTTTTTGTACAGATTTGACCTAACTATTTTGGGTATTTGAATAATGTAGAATTTGGGTCCTACATATAGATAGACGAGGGATAAATGGTGCCATATATGTGATAATTCCCAGCACCTTTTAAAAATCCGGTACATCATTAGGACTGAGTAGCGCTTTTATTTCATCCACCTGATGGGGATCTGGGTGGAGCCCATTTTTACAAACACAGATCTAAAGAAGTGTATTTCCTTCTGGTCCACAGCACACGTGGCGCTGTTGAAACATAGACCTACGGGTTTGGCAACCTTCATGAGGTTGTGGAGGTTTTAATCATGCTCCTCCTTGGTTTACCCATAAGCCACTACAACGTCTATTAGTCTGATTGCTCTTGGACATTGCTCCAGGGTCATGTCCATTTTTTTGTTGGAAGACACCTTGAGACATTATTAGGCCGAATGGCATTCTCCTGAAGCAGTATCGACCAAAGGGAGAATTAAATGTGGTTAGTGGTTGGGAGTCAGCATTCAACTTGACGGACCTGTAGCCTATCTTGGCATCCTTTTTTGTGAAGTACTTAGCATTTTTTAATTTGTGAGAGACCTCCTCCAATGTAAAGGTCTTGTAATTGCATCGTTTGATGGCTTTCTTCAGATGCTGTGGGTCTAAGCATATCCTGAGTTTTCCACTGCTTTTGCACAAAAAGACAATGCCGTTGACCCAGTCAGTTGGCTCAGCTATCTTTCTAATAATTCTTTGGATCACCATATCTTCTAGTTCTGCTTTGATTTGTCGGAGTTAGCTCATCCTCAGCTCCTTAACCCTTCACCAGGGTCTCTCTCCCCTGGCTATAAATACTGGCTGACCCTTCGCCTCGATCTCTTTTACCCCAGGCCTTGGGCCGTTACCTCGCTTGGAGGTAAGGTGGTAATTCATTTCAGCTAACACCAATATGTAAGCTCTCACAGGTACAGCGTTTCCTAAATTCTGGGAACACGCTAAGAACAATACACGTACGTACGAACACTCACCACAATACACACGTAATATTCACCACGCGCACTCAATGTAACTGTCCATGTGCTTGTACTTGTTGTTAATACATATATTTGTATATAGTTATCGGTCTTGTTTGTTTTTCTTTGGACTTAATTAAAGTCCAACTTTCTCGTGTAGCTGGACTGGCTAGCAGGAAATTCTACCCACATGTGTTCTTCACATCTTCACCCTACGCCCCGCTACAGATTTCATCCTTAAGGTAGATGGGACATTTCTTGGGCGCATGGATAATGGGGTTATTGTCTGTTTTCAATACAATGTGGTATTCTCTAGCAAATTCGCCAACTTCGTCAAAACGACCAGGATACGTTTCCATGAGGTCTTCTGTGGAACTAATTGGGCATTTTGTTTGCTGACTGGCACAAAGTACGGTTACTAGCTTCAACACTCAGAGGAAAGGAAGTCCCAATACGGCAGAGCCTTCCGAGGTAACTACATAGAATTTGATATTTCTCCATTCATGGTTGTATGCACATTGTATTCACAGACCCAT